CTTAAATATTTGATAATTTCCTAGCATTTCTTAAATCACTGTCGAGAAAAAACATAGAGTTTGAAGGATTAAAAGAACAAATTCGTAAAAAATGCTTTAGAATGAAAAAAAACTATTTCATGTAAACGTGAATTAAAACTTAATATCTCCTCATATTTAAGCAAGACAGTTTTTTATTCAAAATCATTTTGAATATTGGCAAAAATTATGTTCTCCAGCTAAGTTTGTCTTCTAAAAGTCGCAAAGTAGTGACTACATTTCAAAAGTAGTTTTCCAAAGAAGTACCTAAAGAAGTGCTGTTTTAGCTGACATGCTTATTTTTGAATTTTCGTTTTGTTCTAATTTAAATTCTCCCATATTTATTAAATTTATTAACTACACTACCAATGGATTTTATTTTATATTTTACAACCGTCGTTGAACAGCCGACCCAATTTTTGGGTTTACGACTACTATTGTTTAACTCCGTAGCCTTGTAATTTTGAACCCTATCCAGAAGACAAGGGAACTCCTGGATCAAGCATTGGGAGAAATTAGCCTTCGTGGAGACCTTTTTGATGGAACTAACCCGCATTTGCGTCACATGGAAAGGAAGATCACGAGAACCTCCCACGGTTAGCCTGACGGCAAGGGGACTCTAACCCATGATCCGTCTACCACTGAGAATATTTCACGTCAGCGCTGTGGTCGGTGCTAGCCGGATGCAGAATTCGTATCAACCAGCCATCGCCAGAATCGATCCCCGGTTCACCTCATTCGAAGGCGAACGCACTATCCCCTGAGCCATCGCGGCTCACTATCAATGGATTATGCTTATTAATTATTTTAATACGCTTTTCTATAATTAACGGATAATGAGCTTTTAAAAACTAATGACTAGCTGAGAGACAGTGGCTCTGGACAGGTCATTATCATCCCATGGATTTTTGGGAAGGAAAACTCTATAGCAGAAGTAAACTCGGTAAATTCTAGAAAGGATTTCATCTTTTAAGATACCATTTTAACGTTTAGCGGTAAAATAGTGTTCGCGTACATACATAATCTCAGTACAAATGAACACACAATGGTTGCCACAAATATTTTAAATGATCAATGTTTATTTCACATTCGTTACCATTATTAAGACAATAATTAATCTTTCTGTGATAAGAATTCTAACACATCACTTATTGTAGTATTTACATACTATATTAGATTATTTTTTAAAAAAATATTCAATTTAATAACGATTTTTGTGCATTGTATTTATTAAATTTCAATTATTTCACGTAAAAATTAAAAAATTTATTAAAAAAATTACTACTAATCATATGTTTGAATTTATTTTAATGAAAAATATTTATTATTTTTATATTTTTTCAAAATTCCATGAATACCTCCTACCTTATATGTATGACTACTTTATAAAATAAAAACCAATTTAACGGAAAAATAAAAAATTCTGTTAAATGAATATTAAAAAGTTGTTTTTAGTAGTGTACTGTTTAATGCAGAAGTAATTGAAATAGTTTTATTGGAACATAGTTCAGATAAATAAAAATTAATATTTGCAAGAATTTTAGATTCGTATAATATATAAATTTGTTGCAATGGAGGTAAGAAAAGTGCTTCAAGCAATTATATGTTTGTTAAAATCATTTATATGATTTTAAATCAGTTTTACTAAATTAAAAAATCAGAAGACAACTTTAAATGTTCAAGAAAAGTCCCCCTGTTGATCAAGTAAAGTTGGTATTTACATGTACATTAAGTTTTATTAAAATAAACCCCATTACTTATCCAAGAGTGCATTTTAATATGACTTTTCCACACTAGCCCCCATGACATACGTCATATTAAAAGAGTGCATTTTAATATGACTTTTCCACACTAGTCCCCATGACATACGTCATATTAAAAAATATTATTAAAAAAGTATGCAACTAAATTAGCTTATGTAACACACAAAATGAATATAAATGTTCAAATTTTAATAATAGAGATGTTTAAAATGAGAGAGTTTCTTGAAAAATTTATGAAACAATGTCCCCATAAGTCCCCTATTCACTTTAATCTTTACTAATAATTGTTTTGAAAAGCATTTGCATTTATTTTAGCCATTTGTCATCCCTTCACAACAGTTACCCAATATACTGTTTAGTTTCTCCATATTTAGGGGTTACGAAAGTTATAATTTTTAGAAGTTAGAACTTTTGTCCTTAATTTACACGATTTAGAAAACTTTCATACAAGTAACCAAAGTTTTACAAAATTTAAATAATTTCTAAAAATTTAAATTTAAATATTCTTAAATCAAAAGATATTTTAAATCAAATTTTCGGCTTAAACAACCCCAAATGACGGTACTTTCTTTCAATTATTTGGAAACATTTTAAAAGCTTTATGACCACTATCACCCAGAATAATTAAAAGACATTCATGAAAAAAAAAAAATAGAACCAAATATTTTATTAAGTAGCACTTACGATACAGGAATGCTGTTTACGTTATTATTTTCCTAGTTTATACGAGCTCATTGAGACCAACTCTTCATTCGTGAATTTAAACAATATTTGATCTTGTAAAAAACAACTCTTAAAATATTTCGTTTAAAATACTGGTATGGCATTTGAGATTAACTTATTATAGAATGCTTATTATAAATTTAATAAATAGCTATACACAACGGTTGGAGAAATGCTCTTTCTTGATTTTATTTTTCCGAGTCAGATAAAGGTTCCTTCCTAGAGGAGAGGGTACACTGAGGAAGAGGAACCCTAATTGAGTGACAGAGTGAAAATACTAATCTAATAAAGCTAAATCTAATAAACTAATATCTAATAAATCTAATAAACTAATACTAATATCTAATAAAGCTGTTGCAAATATTTTCCGATATGGAACTCTAAATAATCAATCTTCTTCCGGTGGAACCCCGACTTTATGAATGAAGAATATAAAGAAAATTGTAATCTCCTCGCAAGATTCGAATCGAATATATATATATGGTGCGAAATCGGTCGAGTTGTTCATGAGAAATCAAATTTTAAATATATGACTTTCTTAAAATTCGATTTCACAGGAACGATTAAGTACGCTTTTATGTCTAATTTCGTAACATAATAANTGAGGTGAATTTTGTAAGTCCTAAACCCTAAACTGGGTCTGATGTTCAATACCAGATGTTTTAAAATAAAATAAATGGAAGTTTAAAGGAAGAAGGAAAATTTTTCACAGTTTTATTATTAATAAATAATCTTAAATTTCGTTTTATACCCGGCAGTTGAATTTGCAATCCTGGCACTAAATATAGTCTTGTTAGGAATTTTATTTTGTACATAAGTCTGAAAGGAAAAAAAAAGCGGAATTATGATTTACGTTGAAATAAAAACTAACAAAACAAAAACTGCTGTAAACGTAGAAAATAGTTTTTTAGGAAGCATATTTCTTTATCAACGAATTTTATTTTAATTATTTTACTTTGATTTGAAAAACATGATGGGAAATACGAACGCTACTTTTTTATAAATGCGTGTCTTTTTCATAATTTATTAAATACATTGGTGTTAGAAAAATTACAGATTTCTTAAAAAAATTGCCTTTTTTTTTCATTGACATTTTTTTTTCATTGACATTTTATTTTCAATAATTTCGTAAAGGCAACTGACATGCGTATTAAATAAAGGATTATGGATTGGATCTAAATGTAATTACAGGTTTCAAAAATGCTAAATAAAAAAAGTCCTAACTAGCAACTGGAACCTTTTTAACTCGTTCACGGAACCCTAGGTTTCCGGGGATCACTTTTTGGGAACCAATAATTTAATAGAATGGACATAGCAACACAAGAGTCATGAGATTCACAGTCAACAACTTAAGCTACTGTTAGGGATTTAGTTTAAACCATTTAAAGTTTATAATTTTTAAATAACATATTTGGTTATTCAAGATATAAAATGCGATTATAAATAAAAAAATATAAATACACAAATTATATTACTTACATAAAATCGTTTTGATTATGGTGTGTGATGGGAAAAAAAATTCTGCAATTAAATTAAACATACATATTTACTTTTGATATTGCCGTCTATTTCATATTATTTAATTAATCTTACAAAAAACATGCAACTGCAAAGGTGGTTATTATTTGCTTGAGGATCACATAACTTTATAAAAAATATTAAAAGTAAACTTTGCATCACTTTGAACTCGTGCTTGCATTTAACACAATGCATAATTAAAACCACAACAAAATTATTCAGATTTAATTACATTTATTTCACGTTAAATAAAATATTTCAACTTTGAAATGAAAATGATGATCACAAGAAGAAACAGCTATGTCTTAATATCTTATTATCATTTATAAACGTGTCTTAAGTTACTTATAAAAAAAAAAATTTTTCTTTAAAACATGTTTTTTTTTCTTTAAAAAAAACTGTAACTGCAAATTACATGTTTTTTAAAGAAACACGTAATTGCAGTTACATGTTTTTATCCAAAACATGTAGCTGCAAAGGCGGTTCTTATTTGGGTGAGTATCACATTACTTTATAAAAAAAATAAAAGTAAACTTTGCATCACTTTGAACTCGTGCTTGCATTTAATACAATGCATAATTAAAACCACAACAAAATTATTCAGATTTAATTACATTTATAATAAAATATCTCCACATTTAAAAAAAATGATGATCACAAGAAGAAACAGCTATGTTTAAATATCTTAGTATCATTTATAAACTTGTATTAAATACTTATGAGAAAAAAAAGTTTTTCAATAAAACATGTTTTTTTTTAAGAATACGTGTTTCTTTAAAAAAAAAAGTTTTTTTTTTTTTTTTTTAATTTCTATTTTTTACTACGAAATTTGTTATTTTCAATTTGAAGGCTACTTAAGCATAAATCAGAAGTCAACATAATCGTATTTTTCCAAGTTTTAACATCTAAAAACTATATTCGTCGTTAAAAAATTGAAGACGAACTTAAAATGAAATTGCTCAGTGAATATAGACTTACCTTCAAGAAGCAGAGTTGCGTCTAGGGTTTGTTGTGACATCTAATAAGAAGCATAGTAGGTCAACAGGTCTTTCCTTGCATTGTCCTTCCTTAGACGAATGCAGGTTATAGGTACGAAAGATGTTCATGATCAGAGTAATTGATAACATCAGCGCCATCTATATACACTAAACTGACGTACGTGGAACAATCATTATACAATACACGTTTATTTTAATGAAGGAAGTAAAACAGAAATCTATTCCAGGAGAATTAGTGTTAGAAAGCTCGTTCTGACCGAGCTGTTTCTGTTCGTAAAATAGCTGGAGGAACTTGGTTATGATTATAAAAATATAATATTCTATAAAATAATTCTGATCACTCAAAAAGAATTGGAAAAAAAATCAGGTTAATAAGTTGAAGCGATCTTAATTTAAAAATACTATTCTTCTAATCCTTTGACGCACACGGGACACCTGTGTTCTATCTATATTTTTTTTATTTTTTTTTCTGATGCTGCAATTACAAGTAATATTATATTTTGGTATTTCTTAATTATAAAAAACAGTCTAATAGTTATTAAAAAAATCTGTTATATTATCGAAATTATATTTGTATTAAAATATAATATCAAAAAAAAAAGGTTTTTCCATCCATATTCAAAAATTTATCAATAATTGATTTCCTAATTTAAAGACTTCAACGATGAATAACTGTTTCTCTTAGATTTAAATAAATGCAAATTTGAAAAAATATTGTTTGGAGGATTTTAGCTTTGACGCAGAAAAAAGACATACGTGTCTCACTTTGTATTTCAAAACCATAAATTATTAAAATGCTAAATATAATATTTTTCACTTATTTTGACCTAAATTAATACAAAATATTGAAGAAAAAAAGCATGAAAATATGTTTAATAAAATGTTTTCGTCAAGGGTGAAGGTTGCGCTCCAGAATGGGTGACCAGTTAAAGTTTCTCAACCGAAGTGTTTATTTCGAAGTTAAAATACTCCATAAATATTCATTATTAATTGCGCAAAATTAAATATATTATGGAGTTTTGTAATTCATAATAGCAGTACTTGAATATAAAAAAACTAGGGAGTTGTAATGAATTAAAAACATAAGAGGAATAATTACAAATAATATGCATATATATATTATTATTAAGTCATTAGTCATATGTCTGTAATTTTCCTATGTTCTATCTTCATTTTGAACTTTTATATATATATATATATATATATTATATAAAAACTTAAAATATTGTTGCAAAAACTATAAATAAACAAGATAGTAATTCAAAATAAGCATGTTTAAATGAAAAATCTTAATAAATACTTTTTTTTAAAAACATGAATTTCAACTGGTGCCTCTATTGTATGGAAATTCGTTATGTTTCCCAGCGGATTAACTCTGAAATGCATTTTACTAGTGAAGAAGGAAGCGTGTTGTTGTTGATTAATGCAAGATGCCTGTGTAGATAAAATTGTTTCCACTATCTCCACTTTCTAATGTTCTCTTGTTTTTAGGCTATCTTCATCTATTGGTCATTAGAGTTATAGCACTGTTCATTATTAAGTCATTACAGTTATCATTTTTTGTTCAGCTAATTATACGTTTACTAAAGATTCATACTCAAACAAACAATAAAGATTTCGACCAATAGTAGAACTAACTAGTCTCTTTCCTTTCGATAACCCTTTCGATCTGCTCTCGGGGGTAAGACCAGGTACCCCCTTGATGCTGGGCCTTCGAAAGCTGCGGTGCAGCAGAAGAATATCCAAGGATGAACGAAGGTTTTTCCGGATCCCTAAAAAAATTATTTCGGACTTACTTTCATATTCTGTAGAACTTTTGAGACGCTTAATACAAAGAATAAGTTTCAATATAAATATTAGAAGCCTTCTTCATTTTTCTTTTAAAAAAAATTAAGAAGCGCTACTTTCTTTGTAAGTAATTTTTAATTATTAAGGAATTTTGAACAGGCCTTCAGTAGTCCCTCCCCTCCTTGAGTACAGCCTTGACATAATTTTCTCACATTGTCTGATAAAATAGAAATATCTGCTACTTTTTCACTGAAATTTTATTATTTTTAATTTTTCCATAGAGTTAACAAGTGTACTAATGGGGTGAAACCGGATGATTTGAAATTTTACAAGAAAAAATCATTTATTTAAAAAAGTAATACATCAATACCTTTTCACGTATGATATAATGTAAACACAACTAATGTACAGTGTGCAAAATAAAAAAGATATCACTCTGAATAACTTTTGTTCTAATGATCCGATTCTCATGTACTAAGTGTCAATCTTAATGGTTTGCTGGGGTAACTTCAAATGTGCTAATTAATTAGTACTAACTGTTAATTAAATTACGGAATCACACCCAAAAACGTACTATCTCTGAATAAAAAATAAAAAAAATTTATTCAGATTCCTGACCCTCAAAGTAGACATAGTTTCGAAAATATTGGGCTATAAATTTGGGTGCTAGGAAACTATATATATTTGGCGTAGTCCCCAAAAAACAGTCAAATAATATCGCCATAAGCAGGAGCACAATTTAAGATGACCTTAAACGAATTATGTGATCAACAAGAGAGAAATACTTAGAGTTTCTCCGTTGCTAAGCAACCAAGTTGACATAATAAAAAATAATAAAATAAAAATTTAATCTTTTTCCTTCATCGTTTTCAGTTAGCTCGGGAAAGCTTATTTTTTAGTATTTAATAAAAAAATATCTCGAAGTTTCTAGGCAACAGACACTTTTTTTAGGGGCTGATTTCTGACAAAAACTCAATTTTTATTTTCTTTTTGCTCTTTTTTGATAGTAAAATTAGAATTGATTAAAAAATATTCATGATTTTTCCAAGATTTTAGAATTTGAACACAAAAACTTTTCATGTGACATTATTTGTGTTTCTTTGCGTTTTTATAACTTTTTTAAGTTACTAGATTTTGTACTAAAACCAAATTTATCCAAAATTCCTTTTAATTCCATACAAAGTTGTGGGGCAAATCGTCTTTACACCTTTGATCGAATCTTCCAAGCAAGAAAGGTTTCGCGGGAAAAAAATGTAGGGTATCTGGAAGAGATTATAACTATTATACACATTCACGAAGTTATATATAATTCGCGATATTTCTTTTTTTCTATAATTGAAAAAATAATGAATTGTAATTGGTATTTTAAAAACAATGATCTATGTATGTTTAAGAATATTATATGATTCATCATTCAAAAAATTACTTCATTCTGTAAGTATATGAGTTACATAGTTTTCTTTGGATAAAAATAATTTGCTATAGCATCCTGATGTTTCTATACATTCTGAACCGATTTTCGCAAAATGTAAAATTCATAAAATGTCGCTCAACATGTTCCTCAATTATGATCATCTACGTCAGCGGTCGCCAAAGTGGTCTATAGACCCCCAGGGGTCTATTTAGCATAAGCGGGGGTCGATCTGAGCCAGGGGGACGAATGGGGGTCGATCCGAACCGGAAGGGTCGATTAGTCGAAGGATTATCAGTATTTTTCAGATATATGACAATTAGAAATAAAAGAAGAAGACTTGGAAATATATACAGGCAATCTTCAAATATTGAGCGACGATTTTAAACTGCGTTTTGTTGATTTGGAAAACATTGACATCCCTGATTGGATTATTGTGCCATTTTCTGCTCAAATTGAAAACGTGGACATCAACCTGCAAGATGAGCTTGCTGAATTATTATGGGGATTTGAAGCAAAGACGCTTTTTAAAAAATTAAATAAGCAAATTTTGGACAAATATAAATATAATGCAAAAATATGTAAGACTTTACGAAATAGCTCAGCCATTTATGATAGCATTTCCAAGTTCGTACATGGTTGAAGCCAGTTTCAGTCACGTAAATTCAATCTTAACTAAGTACAGAAATAAATTAAATGTGGAGTTTCGAGGGGATTTAAGATTAAAATTGACCAATTTTGAACCCAATATAACGAACCTTGCAGAAAAAAAAACACCAGGCACACCCATGTCATTGATTAAGAAACAATAAATCCGTAGTTACTTTAATTATTATTTCTACTTACCTACTTACTTATAATTACTTATTATTTCATAAATATTAAGGTATTTATATTTCAACATTAATATATTTTTCATAAAACTATTGTTACACTATGTACTATTACTTTAATAAATGTTTAAAATCATAAAATAAATGTACAAACACAGAATCTAATAGAGTTTTATTTTAATTAACAGAAAATTACTTTTATGGGGGTCGATGGAGATTTCGAAAAATTATGTAGGGGTCCATGATCCAAAAAGTTTGGCAACCCCTGATCTACGTGTATCATCAAATATCGATACTACAATTTCGGTTGCTTAATTCTTTTTATTATAAACTTACTTTACGATTCTCGCCATCAATGCAAACATATATCTGATGCGATAGATTTTAAACAGAGCTTATAAGGTCCTTAAAAAACTGAAATAGTGGTTGCAAAACCACGAAGATAAATGGTTTTCATTAGATTTATTTACATCGCATGATTCAATGGTCAATTTCAGTAACCCTAAATATCTGGTAACAAAATCTTAAGTTTTAAAATTTTAATTTTATAGTTAAAGATAACTTTAAAATGACAATATTGATGTCACAGTACGTCAAAGATCGCATGAACCCTGTTAAAATATTAAAACACAGATGTTTGCTTTTACGAGCATAAGAAAATTAAATTTTAAGTTATTAGGATTATTTTTTGATGTTTGAAACTGAATTATTTTAAACTAGCAGTTGCCTGCACCTCTACCCGCGTATGTTTTTATTTTCTCTGCGTGTAAGGTTTTATTTTGCAACAAAAAAGTAATTTTCCGCTGTAAATTGTAGCCTAACCTGTGTCAACTCTTTAGCTAACAAGACTTCTAACTTAATCTACGCACAAGATCACGGAGATTCGCTGCATAGTTTTTACGTGAAAACGTAATTAACAGACCGACAATACACTACTACGGTTTTGTATACAAACTTACTTCCGCAATTATAATATTAGTAGTGGAGTACGTGTTTTACAGTGGAATTATTTTATTCCATTTACATATTAATCAAATTAGTTTGAATTTAATTAATAAATCTAAGAATTAACTTCACACTTCACTTCA